AACATACAATATGGAAAGGACAGTCTCTTCAATAAATGGTGCTGGGAAAATTGGATATTCATATGCAGAAGAATGAAACTAGACCCATATTTCTTGCCATATACAAAAATAAAATCAAAATGGATTAAAGACTTAAATATAAGACCTGAAACTATGAAACTTCTGAAAGAAAACATTAGGGAAATGCTTCAGCCCATGAAAAAGAATGAAATCCTGCATTTGCAACGGCATGGATAGAACTGGAGAACATTATGTTAAGTGAAATAAGCCAAGCCCAGAAGAAAAATCTCACATGTTCTCATTCACATGTGGGAACTAAATATTAAAAACAATTGATCTCATGGAGACAGAGAGTAAAATTATGGTTACCAGAGGCTGGGAAGGGTAGTAGGGAGAAAGGGATAAAGTGGGAATGGTTAATGGGCACAAAAATTTAGTTAGTTAGTTATAATGAACAATATTTGATAGTACAAAAAAGTGATTATAATCAACAATAAGTTAAGGTATACTTTGAAGTAACTAAGAGTGGAAATAGAATGTTCCTAACAGAAAGAAATGATAAATGCCTGAGGTGATGGATACCCCTACTCTGATTAGATTAGTTCACATTGTACACCTGTATCAAAATGGCTCATGTACCCTGTAAAGATATACAACTATTATGTACCTATAATAATTTAAAAAATAATAATAATATCCTACTCAGTGAAGCTCTTTGGGGATTGAAAGGAAAAGGCACTCTCATCCTCCACATCAGGGATTGGACTGTTGAGATGGTGGCTCAGAAGATAAACAAAGGGCTGGAGCACCTTGTTAAAACAGAAAAATTCCTGAAAAATGTTGTTTAAAAAGGAAGCCAGATTGTGACAATGCTCCTTCTGAATATAGAAAAGATATTAAAATAATAATAAATGTAAATGGTCTAAGGACTTCTATTAAAAGGAAGAGATTGATTGACTAAATGAGCAAAACCCAACCATATGCTGCCTACAAGAAACCCATTTTAAATGTAAAAACAAAGATTAAAGGGATGGGAAAAGATATACCATGCTAAGACCAATCAAAAGATATTTAAGAGAAAGAATGAAAATTTTATGAAAGAATAAAATCAAATCAATGAAAGGCTGAAAACATTGTGTACACACACACATAGTGGTTATCTCTGGATTGTGGATTATAAGTGAATTTTGTTTTCTTAACTATACTTTTCTGTATTTTCCAATTATCCTATCTCAAGTTCATGTTGTTTTTATTATCAGAAAAATATATGGTGTTAAAACAAAGGAATATTTCCTGAAAATACTCTAAGCTATGACTGCTATGTCAAAATTGCTCTTCACGATAATGAGGGCCAGAAAGCCCCCTGTGTACTTCAGTCATTTATTTAACAGATATTTATTTAATGCCTACCTATGTGCAAGGTGCTAGGTGCTGGAAACACAATGGTAAACAAAAATATGAGGTGCCCTCCTGTCACTTACAGTTTAGATGAAAGTCATAAATTAATCACATAATCGCACAAATGAATTTTGATTTTAAAACTAATGAGGACTAACTAGGAAGGAGAAGGATGTGGTATAGTGGGAACATGTAAAAGGGACCTGATCAGGTATATGGTAACAGGGCATATTCCCGGAAGTCTCTTCTGATCTGAGATCCACAGGAAGAAGGATGGGATTAAGCAAGCCGGCATTATCTGAATCTTTCCCTGAGATTTTTCTGGCTGGAGCTGGCAATAAAGAACTCTGGGATGAGAGAAGCCATGTCATCTGCTGCATGGAGGAAGCCCATTTTTGACTTGAGGGAAGGAAACCAACACACATAGGGAAGCAAATAGAGGAGTTTTTCTAAGACTATTGTTTAGAGTAGTTTTCAGCTCACAACAAAATTGAGAGGAGCATACAAAAATATTCCTGCCCCCACACATGCACAGCCTCCCTCATTGTCAAAATCCCCCACCAGAATGGTACATTTGTTACAATTGGTGAACCTACATTGACAGATCATTATCACCCACAGTCCACAGTTTACATTAGGGCTCACTCTTGTACATCCTATGGGTTTGAACAAATGTATAATGATGTGTATCCACAATTATAGTGCCATACAGAGTAGTTTCATTGCCCTAAAAATCCTCTGTGCTCTGTCTATTCAACTCTTCCCACCCTAACCCCTGGCAACCACTGATCTTTTTACTGTCTTTGTAGCTTTGCTTTATAGCTTTCCAGAATGTCATATAGTTGGAATCATACATATGTAGCCTTTTCAGATTAGCTTTCTTTCTTTAGTAATATGAACTTAAGGTTCCTCCATGTCTTTTCGTGGCTTGATAGTTTCTTTCTTTCTTTTCCTTCCTTCGTTTCCTTTCTTCCTTCCTTCCTTCCTTTTTCTTTCTTTCTTTCTTTTTCTTTCTTTCTTTCTTTCTTTCTTTCTTTCTTTCTTTCTTTCTTTCTTTCTTTCTTTCTTTCTTTCTTTCTTTCTTTCTTTCCTTCTTTCTTTCTTGACAGCATCTCACTCTATCACCCAGGCCGCAGTGCAATGGCATGCTCATAGGTGCCTCTAGCCTTGAACTCCCAGGCTCCAGCGATCCTCTTACCTCAGCTTCTCAAGTAGCAAGGACTACAGGTGCATGCCACCATGCCTGGCTAGGTGTTTTTAATACATTCTGAATATAAGCCCTTTCTCAGATATGTGTATATCTCAAATAAGTGCAAATATCTTCTCCTGCTCAATGGCTTGAATTTTAACTCTCTTAAGGATGTCTTTTGATGAACAGAAGTTTCTAATTTCAGTGCAGTCCAATTTATTAATCTTTTTCTTTATAGTTAAGGCTTTTGTTTCTTGATTAAGAAAAGTTTTTCCAATTTCAGAGTTTTGAAGACACTTTTATGTTATCCTGTAGATATCATCATATCTATCATTTTATCTTTCACATTTAGATCTACAGTCTATCAGGAATTAATTTTTGTGTATGTTGGGAAGCAGGGTCAAGGTTCATTTTTTTCTGTATGGACACTCAATTAGTTCAGCATCATATAGTGAAAAGACCCTTCTTTACTCAATGTTCTGCATGCCAGCTCCATTATAAATCATGTGTCCTTATGAATATCAGCTGTTTCTGGGCTTTCTATTGTTTGCATTTTTCTGTTGTTCTTCCTTGTGAGAAAATCATACTGTTATTATTTCTGTAGCTTTATAATGTCATGATTTCTGGTAGTATAAGTCCTCCAACTTCATTCTTCTTCAAGATTGTCTTGATTAATTTTTGGTCCTTTGTGGTTCCATATGAATTTTTAAATCAGATTGTCAGTTTCCACTAAAAAAATTTGCTAGGATTGTGACAGAAATTATAATGAATCTAGAAATTAATTTGAAGAAAATTGACATCTTTTTAGTATAGAGCCTTTAATTCATGGTGCATACCTTTGTTTATTTAGATCATTCATTTCCTTCAATATTATTTTGTAGTTTTTGTGTAGTTGTCTTGACCACCTTTTGTTAGATTAATTTCAATAGTTTATATGTAGATTCTTTGGGATCTTTTTTTTTTTTTTTTGATACAGAATCATGCTCTGTCACCCTGGCTAGAATGCAGAGGTGTCATCATAGCTCACTGCAACTTCAAACTGCTAGGCTCGAGTGATCCTCCTGCCTCAGCCTCCCGAGTAGCTGGGACTACAGGCCCACATCACCATGCCTGGGTAATTTTTCTATTTTTTGTAGAGATAGAGTCTTGCTCTTGCTCAGGCTGGTCACAAACTCCTGAGCTCAAGTGATCCTCCCACCTTGGCCTCCCAGAGTGCAGATCTTCTTTATATACAATCATGTCATCTGTGAATGATGATAACTTTATTTCCAATCCTTATGAACTTAGTTTCTTTTTCTTGCTTTATTACAATGGCTAAGACTGCCAGTACAATATTAGGTAAAAGTGGGCATTCTTATCTCATCACAATCTCAGGGGAAAAGATTTCAATATTTTACAATTAAGTATAAGATTTGTTCAACTGTATAAGGTTATTTTATATATGCATTTGTAGGCATATATTAATATATAATAACCTATACAAATGCTAGAGATAAAGACGGACATTTTTATGAACATTTCCACACTATAAAAGTTTCAATTTATCAAGAAGATATAACAATTATAAATTTGTATTCACTAAATATATGTATATTTAAGATTTATTTTAGCTAGAATTTTTGTTGTTTTCAGTAGGAGAATTAGCCACATAACCCAGCCCACCCCTTTCTCTCTTTGTATACTCTTTATTTGCATCCTTTGCTGTTCAACATGTTGCAAATATTTTTTCCAGCTCATGATGTGTCTTTCAACCTTTTTAAATTTTTGTTTGTGTACTTATAGGAGTTTTCAGCTGTTATGTGGTCAGCCCTTTAGTCTGTGCCTTTGTGTCTTCTGGACCCTATGCTTAGGAAACTTTTCCCACCCCAAGATTATAAAATACTCTGCTATGTTTTCTTCTGATAGTTGTATAGTTTTATTTTTATATTATATTTAGCTCTTTAATCTATCTTTACTTTTATTTTTGTGTATGGTGCATAGATATAACTTTGTTTTTGGCCAAATGATTTGCTAACTACTCCCACATCATTTATTGAATGGCCTATCTCTTCTGATTTGAAATGTCACTGTTATCAGAAACTATTGATTTTCCAATCTATTTGTTTATTCTGCTCCTGTGGAGTTTTTAATAGGTGACTTATGTGATTTCTCCTCAGCTTCTACTTCCTGGTAGCTCAACCTTTACCAGAGTTCCTGTCCATCTTGGCTGGCCAGCAACTTTCTGTGTGCCAGGCGAGTTAATGGTGCCTGGCACACAGGACTCTTGTGAGGACCAGAGAGTAGATAGTTCCAGAAATACTAGCTTTCCACCCCTTTTGCTAGTCCTCCCTTCACATGCTGACAGGCCCTCTGAGCGCAGAAAGCCACAGCAGCTCTTCAGCCAAAACAAGGGCTGGACCCAGAGGGGGAACAGGAAGTCTCAAGCGGGATCTCAAATGTGCCTTGACACTTTTCACCCACTGTCCCAGCCTGGGAGCTGGCAGTCTGTATAGCTTGTCCCTCCCTACCCGAACGCACCCCTGGGTCCTTCAGCAAGTTCTCCAGGTTTTGCCTACTTCATAGGATGTTCCCTGAAAGAAAGAAGCTGCACGTCCTACTTTTGGCTGAGTCCCGGGCTCTGTGCCCTCCTGGTTTGAGGAGAAATTACTCCCTCTCTCAAAGTCACTTGTGAGGCATGGGCGCATGGTGGCCTGGCTACTTCCTTGAAAAGAGCGTGGGGAAATAGAACAAAACAAAACAAATATCTCAAAAACATCACTTTCCCACATGTGTATTATTTCTGTCATTTACAAAAATGATCTTAAGTCCAGAGGCAGCCAAAGTTAGACATGTGACATAAAACATTGTGCCATTTCTGCTCAACAAATATTTATTAAGCACAGAGCAAGGCATCTTTCTCTCTTCTAAAGTTTATGCTTCTGGAGAGTTCTCCACAGAGGCTCAGGTTGGGCTGTTTTGAGGCCCACAGGCCTGTGCTCCAGGCATGAGATGGAGGCGGGAGAATGAGCCCGGCCCCAAGAGCTCCCGGCCCAGGTGGCCTCGACTAGTAGCAATAGCCTCAATAACCATTGGAGCTGGAGGCCAAACACAACACCATTTTCTAGGCGAGGTTAATCCATGACCAAGGTCTTTATGAGAACATCCTCCCTGGGCCCTTCCCTGACCGGAAAGAGGTGTGGATGGCAGATCTTCAGGGGCACCCTGGAGGGGTGGCTGCTGGCCTGCCTCCCGTGGCCCTGGCTCTCAGCCTGAGCCTTTGCCTCTCCCTGGCCTTCTGCGATGTCACAGCCAGGGGTGGGGTCACTGTCTCTGTTCTCAGGGACACTGGTCAGTGTTAAAGACTTACTGACATGAAATTGAGGCCTTTTGACGGAATTGGAAGAGGGAAACATTGGAAGAGAAGTGAGCGCCTATGAAAGAGTCTGAGTCTGGGATGAACATGGAGAGTGTCTGTTCCCAGCAACTCCAAGACCCAGGCCCAGAAGGAGGAGGCAATCTCATTCTGACCAAGGCCCCAGTGACTCGGAAACCAGGGGCCCACTCTGGAAGCAGAGGAGCCTGGAAGCCTCACGGTCAGAGGGCATGCCGTCCTCAAGTGACAGGCAGTCTCAGGGAACAGCTTCCCTAGGCCTTGGGGGAGGGGTGTCAAGGGACAACTACAAGGGAGACCCTCATGGTCCTTCAGTTCAGGGCCATGGAGTTGATGGAGCCAGCACCCCTGACAGGACCATCAAAGCCATCATTGTCATAGATGTTGGTGGCCGGGGAAGGATGCTTTGGGCAGGAGACCATCCTGGCCTCTGCTGCCTCCTCAGCCAGCTTCTGTTCCAGCACCAGAGCTGGGTTGACATCAGGCCCTGCAGAGAGACAGAGACAAAGGACCGGAATCAGAGAGGCAGGCAGAGGGCACAGGTGGGCGGTGTAGCCAGGAGAGAAAGTCCGGAGAGTGGAAGCTGACCCCAACCTCTGTCTGCATCCGCGCTTGCTCCCCTGCCCTGAAAAACCAGCAGCCAGTTCCAGCCAGCATTATGCCTGGCCCCGCCCCTCTGCCTCTGTGGGCATGCTCAAGGGACACCCTGAGACCTCCCCGCAGGTATTCACAGGCCCTTTCTTCCTGGGACATCCTGTGCTGACACCGCAGCCAACAATCCTTCTGAGAGAAGCTCTTCCTCATTCTGCACAACAAACAGGGCATGAGGGGTCCCCAGGGGGCCCTGTGCCATATGCCTTCCTGGGTCACCACCTATTCAGCCCAAGCTTCAGGGGGTGCCTGGCCTCCCCCATCCCCCAGGCACTCTGCAAACCTCCAGGGAGCGCCACCACCTGCAGCTCCAAGGCCCTGGGCTCCCTGGTCCAGGCGAACCCCGGCTGCTCCTCCTTGCCCCTCTCGCATCTCACCCACCATCCCCAACACACACACTCTCTCCTTCCAAAGAGGATCAGGGAGCTCCTACAAGAGGCTGCAGTGTCACGGTTAGGGAACCCCCCAGCCATGTGAGCCCCAACGCCTGCTCCATTTGACCAAGTCTGTGACCTGGAGCAGCTGACTGTTTCCTCACCCGTAAAATGGGAATGATAATACCTACCTCTGGGGATGACAAGAGAATTAAAGACACATATGTTGATGCACAAACACACCCTTCTATTTACAAATGTCTTCTAGTAAACTTATCTTATTATTACCATCTGGTGGAGGATAAAATTGAACTCCCACCTTGCCAACCCTGAGAGCCGGAAACACCCTCATCCTGGCGGGCTCAGATTAAATCTCTGCAGGGAGCAATTTTAAATGATCATGTCCAACAATGAGGGTGCAGGGAAACGGGCACTTGCCCGTGACATGGCACAAGCTTACACAGTAACACTTTCTAAAGGGCGTTAACAATTGGCATTAACGATTGATGTTTTCACAGGCTGTCTCTAAGGGAGTGTCGGAGGATGAGGGCAAAGCTTCAGCCACAGAGTCATTCACTGACAGAATGGAAAGTCAGAAACAATCTAACATCCAACAGTTAGGAGCTGGTTAAGTAAATCATGGTGGAACCATATATAGGATGCTGTTTTCTAACTAAGAGCTGCCACCCATTAATGAATCATGAAATCAATTAGTATATAATGCTGGCATTTTAAATATTAATGATAGAATAGAACCAAAAATATCAGAATGTTTCACATGTAGTAAGGGCAGATATTATTTTGTGAAACGTATGTTTTAGTGACACAGGTCTGTGTCTGTATGCCTGTGCACGTCACCTCTCAAAGTAAAATAGAGTTCTTGTTGAAGGTCATGCCTAAAAGTCCAACAGCAGTGGAGATGCACAGGGCCACTGAAACAGTGTTTGAGACACACATCTGCTGACAAAGAAAGATGTTCACAACATGTTAAGTGAAAAACAGCAGCTTCCAAAACGGGAAGAGCCATGTGGTCATGGTCTTGGCCGTGTGAGTGCTTCTGACGTTTGCCCATGGCTGGTGTGTACTCCCTGAGTGTGCGTGGTAAGCACGCCCTGTTGTGATCATCATCACAGTCATGGCAGCCTGGCAGGAACGGGCCTGGGCACTCACCCAGGTAGCTGAGGATGACTGGCAGGAAGACCAGGCCGTGCAGCAGGCCCATCAAGGTAATGATAAGGTTGAGGCGGAAGAAGAAGACCTGGATGAGCTGGGACTTGGCAAGGCCCAGGACAAGGATGCCAGGCAGGTTGGTCATGGCCACCCCTGCAAACACCTGGGGGTCACAGCCAGGCATCAGGTGGGGCACAGGACGTCAGGCAGGGCACAGG